CGCACCTCTCGTGTGGTCCCGTAGGGACTCACCTCCATCACCAGACTGTCAGCATTCAATTAGCAACATTGGTGCTTTCATTACCAAAGGCGGTGGCAGGGCACTGGGGCAGCATACCGGCGAGGGCACAAAAATACACTTTCAGCTACATGTTTTTCTACGCGGGAATAGGGGTCTACGTTGGTGGATAGAGGAGAGAAGTAGTAGTTCATGAACTATTTCGTACGCAGGCCTCAGCGAATGCATAGCTAACGTAAAATATCTGACGGATTTAGGTGCGAATTCTTCCAAAATTATCCCATCGTACTAAAACGTTAGTTGTGCATGTGCATAGACCACGAAAAATTAAGTGTGTAAAAGCATGTTATTTTCAGAAACGAACACTCTCAGACCTGAACTCAAAGTAGTTGCACTGGAAATCCAAGTGTTCGAATGTCACACACCTGCAGCTGTGCGAAATAATATTCACACACCTGAATTATTCAGTATAAATTCGTTTGATATATACTAACAATGCTTGAAAATTCCTCGTAAAGCTACACAGAATGTGTAGATTTTGCATTACGATCCTGTTCATTGTAAGCTTTTGGGCAATTGCAGAGGGAATGTCCGTAACGGCACGGAAACACACAATTTAAGGCCTGAGAGTTGCTACAATGTGTTTATTGGCACATGAAGCACGCAGTCTCGAGACGTATCCACCGATACCCTTGTGGCTCCTAGAAACTGTTAGTCAAGCCAAAAAATTAAAAATTTATGCCGATTTTGCAGTGTGGAGAATCGCGAACTACTGTTGACCTATCTGTAGACTACATGTAAAAGGACTCCAGAGCCCTGGTCCTGGTGGACGGACTATCGGCATTGGAGAGGGCTGTGTGACAGAACGTCTACCTAGCCAGGCGTAAGTACGGCTCTTGTGCCAAATGTACAGCAGCAGATGACCTGCTTTCGTTTCACTATCGATCTCCCGAGGCAGGGGTGGAAGGGCGGGGGTCGGCCAAAACACGGCACAAGCACAACAACCCCAGGAGAGAGCCCCGCACACCACTGCGAAGGGACACAGTTCCTGGTCTCTCTGTCTCCCTCCCTCTTCTCTTTGAGGCAAGGGCCCCGACAAAACCAATCGATACGTAACCTCTAAATTCGCAGTAGAGCGGCGAAAACACATTTGCTCACCCTATTTCAAAATTTGTCGACATCTCGAGTAGAGAATTACCGGGACATAAATTAAAACTAGAATACAGTTTAGACGAATAATTTTAACAATACCGTACTGTGTGGCCAAACGGAATCGTATTTTGCTTTTCAATATTATCTTCCTGGTCGGGTTGGCGTGTCCCGGCGGCGGCAGAGCGCGTACCCCCCCCCCCCCCCCCCCTTGTGCCCGTGGCCGTGCCCGCAGCTGTCACTAGGCCACGCTCGCGGCCGCGCAAAAGACTTTGCAAACATATTTACACATCTTCGGGCATTTTTGCCCTCTCTTCCGTAGTAGAGCGGAAGGGGTGAAACAGATCGCGATACGAAGATGGCCGGGGTAAAGGCTGGCCGGAGCCCGGAGGCACAAGGTGCAGGGAGGCGCTCGGCTCGTGCGTGGCGCCACAGGGGCCTCTCTCCCTTCTGAGTCCTCGACTTCACTTCACTTCGCCTCTCCTCTCCTCTTCGTTCTGTTTCGTTCTATTTTTACGAAAGTGTTCGCAGGGAGCACACCACCGTCGTCACCGAGAAGCGCTTGCGCAGACACGCACACATCACGCTACACTACAGTTTCACAGAAAGGTGCGTAGGGAAAGGGAAAACGGGTCTTCTTGAGCACAGTGGACGCTCGCTTCACAGGACGGACTAAAAGCACGAAAGAACATCTTCAAAGTTCCACTGCAACGCGCCCGCACACCGACATTCGCCATCACTTCCACGGAGAGAAAGGAAGGAAGCGTCTCCGATAACCTCGAAATTCGTACAAAGAGAAACGAAATTGAACTTCGCGGCGGCGTCCGCAGGACAGGCAGGATAAAGGCTGGCGAGTAGGCTGACTGTATCCCAGCCGGGAAAATAATCCAATCCGACAGAAAAGAAGAAAAGGAAGCAAACACCAAAGGAGATGGCAGCGGGGGCTAACCTGGTAGCCGATTGTCGGCCAGGGGCGTTCGTAGCCAACTCGCTGCCGAATCACCATGGAAGTAACAGTGATACCGTTAACACAGGCGCCGTGCACCATAACACAACGACAGTCAACGACAGGCGGCGGAGCCAGGCGGAGCCAGTGAGGGCGTGGCGGCGGGCTGCGGGCCGACAGGCAGGGCGAGGGCGTCCGCTCGACGGTCGGGCTCGCCTGCTACTGACTACTGCTGCCGCCGCCCGCGCGCCCCGCTCCCCGCTCCTCCCCTGCCCTGCCCCCACCTCTCCCCGCTCCCCACTCTCTGCCGACCGCGTCTTTCGGCTCGTGCCGAAGGTATCCGAAGGGCGTCGGGGCGGTGTCGGCGTCGGCCGGCGCCTGCCTACCCTCCCCTGCCGTTCCACCACGTTCCACCCCACTCCCCGCCCCCCATCTCACTCTTGCCTCTATCTCTCCCTTTCTCTCCCTCTCGCTCCTTCTCCCCTTGTCGGCGTCTTGCACCCGCCGCGTCTCAGAGTATACATGTTCCGTGCGTGTAGGAGGGCGGATAAGAGCTATCAGCGCCATCCTGGTGCTATCGGCGGGGCTGGCGGAGCTGAGCGGCCGGGACGATCTGCGAATAGTCAAACAGAGATAAGGACCAGCAATAGTCTTGCCTGTTATTGACACTGAGAGCGGCAGCGACACGGGCTTCGTGACCTCGGCCGTCGTTCCGATAAACACGAAACACTCACTTTTAGACATTTGACAGTTTTTGACCAGGAACGGCGGGCGGAACGGCAATGACCCCCCACTCCCCCACCCCCACCCCACCCGACACCCCCAAGGCACCTCCCGACGCCTCCTCAGGGGCCCTCAGGCTTGACTTGACTAACCCCGAGGTCTCTTTTGGCCCAAGGCGGTGCCGTTCATATAGCGAGGCCCTTCCACCGGGGCACGATGCCGAGCATACATGCTGCTCCCGGTTTCCGGTGGCAAACCCAGCATCCTCAAAGGTGGCAGCTAAGTGGGTTCTCGAACCCTTGCCGTCCCCGAACAAACATGGGGGGAGGGCACCCCCCGCGTTCTCACAGTAAAACGGAAACTTCGCCAAAAAGGTATATTAAGATAGACTAATCGCTCTCAAGACCACTTTTCGTCTAGAGATATCGCAAAATTTCTCACTCGATTCCCTCGCAGTTTTTTTTTATGGAGGATAACGTAATGCTCCCACAACCAAACTGAAAGCCCGAGGAAACGCCCATATACATAGGTGCGTACCGCTACCGCTCATACGAGAGCGCGGGCGCCGGAGCCACCCGACTGACGAGACAGAAAACTACCCCCGCGGACGAACTGCGCACAGCAGCAGCTGCTGCAGCACACCCCATATTTTCGCCCCTATAATTTAACGGCAAGGCAAATGGATCTTTATCAACGTTATTCGGCAATCTTCACCTTTCTATGGGAATGCCTCCATGCTGGTTGCTGCCCCCCGCTGCCCCCCTCCCCCGCCCCATACGCCCCTGGAGCACAGCTAGCAATGACGTGGCGGGAGGACACTCAGCCCACCCCGTACTGCAGAGTAAACTTCTGTCGTAGTTGAAAGAGTTTTCAGTAGGGGACATCTGATCCTGAACATTACTTTGCTTCCCCTGCTACATTTCTGTCCGCCTGCTGCGACTCCGCGAGCGTGTCCTTCCCCCTTATCATCCGAGAGCAGGGCTATATCCGACCACCGTGCCCAAGTACAATTGACGAAAGTCGGCAGATCATGGTCATGGTCTTTACTTGCTCAGACAAATGGTAAATAGGGGGAGGAAGCTGACGGCCTCATGGCTGCGTTGCTGCTGTTTTTGTCCGGACGAGACGGGTCGCTGTGAGGCAAGGTCATGACAGAACACCGGCTAGAGTCACAGATGTGGGCGGGGCGGAAACACATTCAGGGCGTTATGATGTGGCGAACCACACTGAGCGTGTTTGAATGCAAGCACACTGGTAAAACAAGAGTGCAAATTTTGCACACCGTGGGCAAGACATAATTTTGCACTAACGTGCACGACACAATGGTGTCTAACTGAAGTTGCACACTTGCGTGATGTTAAAATTTTAGACGTTTAGTAAACGTCTAAATTTTGCACTCTTGGACACACATAGTTTTGGGCTATCAGTTGGAACCATTTGATGAGCAGCTGCTATACTTTTCGGAAATGTCGAAAGTTTGCCCACCAATTGACGTATAATCTAGTTAGTTAGTAACCATAATGTGTCTAAGTTTTGCACCCTTGAACTTACACATCAGTAATTGTCGTTCAAAATTAAACAGCTGTTTTACCAGTAGTGAGGAAGGGTTTCCCGCGCACGAAGCGGAAACCCCTTCTGTCGGTGACGCTGCACAGTCATGTCTTGGGCATACATACTGCAAGCGTTCAACGGCGTTCGAGGCAACGGCTGGAAGGAGGGGGGGAGGGGGGCTTCCCGCCCTCACCGGGCCGCGGGCAGTTCCCTCCCGACGCGGCCGCTTGTCTTGTCCGTGACGTGGGTCGATGGCGCCCCGCCCCCCGCAGGCCACCCTGGCTGCAGGCCGCCCGGGCTATCGGGGCGGACGCAGGCGAGGACGCAAGCAACTCGCGACATAAGAAAGCGGTTCCAGACGACAAAGGTCGCTTGTAGTGCTTGTAGCGCTTGTAGCGCATGTAGTGCTTGTAGCGCTTGTAGCGCTTGTAACGCTTGTAGCGCTTGTAGCGCTTGTAGCGCTCGCGACAGCTCCCACCCACACTCCATATTAAGGTGCATGCCGGAGTGGAATTATTGGAGCTGGAAGAAAATTCTGTGCTTTTCTAAACTACGCTTGTCTGATCGGGTAACCACCTGAATGGAATTCCCCGGGTGGAACGATCTGTTTCGTTCTATTTTTACGAAAGTGTTCGCAGGGAGCACACCACCGTCGTCACCGAGAAGCGCTTGCGCAGACAGGCACACATCACGCTACACTACAGTTTCACAGAAAGGTGCGTAGGGAAAGGGAAAACGGGTCTTCTTGAGCACAGTGGACGCTCGCTTCACAGGACGGACTAAAAGCACGAAAGAAC